CTGTCAAACTATCAACCATCTGACAGCCAAGTCAGCGTACTATCAAAGGGTCTCAAATTCATCCCAACGCCCGTGACAAACGAATTTAAAATCAGGCCAACTTTTGCGAGATTTATTCGCAAGACAAATGCGCCTCCGTTACACCTTTCACGGACAAAACAAAGAACCACTTCATATCACACTGAATGTCACCGGTTCAGTCTTCTATTGCCCTTCAGAGCTACTTGGAAAATCGTCATAAGGCTACTTGCAGACTGCATCTATAAGCCAAAAATACTTTGTAACGCAATGAGGTCACAGCTCTAAAAGAGTTGAAACAAACTCTGCTTTAAACCTCACCGAAGCGACTCAACAATAGTCATCATGAATAAGATAGAAAAAACAAAAGAGGCCAAAGTGCAACTCAACAACAGAGTTCACTTCAAACCTTTCAAAGCACCGATAGTAAAAAACACATAGGAAAGAGTTAATGAGATATTGACCAAATGTATCGGGGAAAACGCATTGATGGGTTAGAAATGGCTTTCACAAACTCCCAATATCCGCCTTCGGATACACAATTAGCCATTGCCGAAAACTAATTTTACTAATCACCTGATCATTTCTTACAAGAAAGGCCGGAAAATCCCTTACGACAAGCAAAAATACAGTTCGAAGGCGATAAAGCGACTGCGACCACAAAAGCCACATGGGGAGTCCGTGCCGTTCTGTGTTTATCTTTATTCGCATGGCAAAAATTCATCGTTTGTCGGCGCAAAACTATCCACAGAAGCTTCAGATGATTTCTGGGACAATTCATCGTCTGGAAAAGTCGACATTTCCCGACTGACAACGAAACAGTTCTCAAAAAAGTAATATGTTTGATTCTCTGTGCAGCGAGCAAAGAGAGTTGTGACAAAGCAAAGCATAAGTTTGTTGAGCCTTTGACGTCATGATTACGTTTTTGCGGGCTCCGCTGCCATGTTTTCAGCAATTTTTGGACGACTTTGAAGTGGTAAAAATTGGTCATCGAAGGTTTGTTTTGAGTTTTTAATGGCAAAAAGGGTCTTAACTTGACCCAATTCAACATTCTGCGAACAATTTAGGCCGAAATAAAATGGTCAATTTTCGTCCCAGGGGCATTTTAACGAGAGCAACGAACGCTTGTGACATCCATTACTCGGTCCCAGGTGATGACGGAAAAAGCTTGTATCAGGAGAGATCGGGAGGGCTCTGGGGAAGAGAGATCATTTCGCGCCTTATGCCTTATCCCGCCTTTCCTGTCAAGCGGCTGTCAAGCGGCTGTCAAGTTGATTTAAGACTTGAAAAAGACGGGAAAATGCGTGTCTGTTTTGTTTCAGGATTTTTTGATAGATTGACGTTTTCAGGTATCAATAATTATTTATTCAACTTTTAAGGCAAATGTTATGACGTCCCCTTAATAACGCAAATGTATGCTGTATGCATTTTTAGAACCGGCGCGGATGTTAGAAGCCGAGGTGATCCTTTACTGATGATGTCCTTAGTCGTCAAAAATTTGTAAATTATCCAGTCCCAACAATTTGATCATTGTAAAGAGACAAACTTAACTTAGCGACGTGATAATGTTGAGCGTCTATGATGACTTGTTTATCAATGACTGTACTAACAGCGAAGTAAAACAAGCAAACTGTCATTTCTAATGCATTTTCATTATTCTTACAGATTCTTTAACATGAGTTGCAGCCATTGCAATAAAAAATTTCGCTTAAGTAACTGAGCATAACATCTCGTCCGTCAAGTTTGTGGTTAGAATTTTACAAGTACTTACAGTTGATGTAGTTATAGGACTTGCAAAAGTTCTTTCTCAATCCCCTCCATAATTGAAAGATCTAGCAAACCTCAGCCTTGCGAATCCAGCTAGCTTAGTTCTTTATGTACTTTTCAGGTCGTGATGCATTTTTCTAGACGAGTGTAAACAAATAAAAATTCAGATCATGGAGATGTCACTAAGTAGACTTGTCTTCATTGTGTTCATAAGGCTAGCCACAATGACCAGAGAAGGTAAGAACATCATGATTTGCAACCAAAGATGCCATGATTAGTATGCATTGAGGAATATAATTATATTTGCATAAAAGAATCTTCAGACCTCTCATTATTTGTAAGTTTGATTTTTAAATTTAGATGTTGTAAGGTGTCCAATATTGGTCTCAAAGTCTCACCTCATTCAAAGTTCTCAAAAATCAGTACTTTGTTCATATGTTGCAGTGAATGCATTTTCTCCAAACTGTTCTTTATACATATCCCATGGTACTGATGGGGAGAATAATTGTTTTGCAATCAGAACTTTAGTTGGTTATCTTTTCCTTTATTCTCATAAGTAAACTATTGTCTGATTCAGTGGTGACATCATAAGGAGAAGTAAGATGCAAGTCACTCCAAGGGGTAGAAGGGTTAGAGAATATTAGTAACAACTGGAGCACGGCTTTTGAATTTCGAGCCCTCTGAATGGCTGAATAGAGGCAGGTAATGAGCATGTAACATAGCTCTGAGTGCATAACCTAGCTGTAACAAATGGTCAATGTATTCGTCAGCCAAGTGAAGAATAATGACATTTCTGTGAGCAAACCGAAGAGCAATGATGGAAAAAAAATTGTTGTGCTGAGAGTTTACAAGTAAAGAAGTAACAGAACTATGATGGATTAAGAAAATTTCCAACACAAAAACAGGCAATTTTAAGTGCATTTGAAATTTAAAATT